TCTCAAGTAAGTAACACCTAGAGTAGGTGGTACAAGAATAAGAGTACAAGAACACCATTAAAAATGCTAAGTCTGATACTCAAAATGTAAGAAATGCTAGCATTAAAATTTCTTTGCACATGCCCACTCCTTCTAACACATTTTTTAGTTACAGTATAAAAAAAATCCCTACCAGCTGTCTTCCTCCCTAGTGAGCTGGTCTCTTTTCTCTTCAGTTCTAGTTGTGAGTTTCTTCTAGTCTAAGCTTTTTCATCCTTTCACTTGATTCTGCCCTTGTCCTCTATGTGAATTATATGGCACTTTCTCTCCAAAACTTCTTTGAAGGTCTCCTTGAAAGCAAAGGGGATAGTCTTCCTCTTCTCAGTTCCAGTTCCTGGTCATATGCTGATGAGGAGAAATCGCTGTAGAGAAAGTCTGGGTTTGCTTCTGAAACTCCATGTGGGAATTCAGTGATGTGAAGGTATTGTGATAGGCAACTTTGGGAGCTGTGAGTGGCTTGAGAATGCCTAGAGAGAATGAATTTATTAGAGGTCTCCCCACTGAATATCATATGCATTCACCACCAAGTTTGTGCAAGTTTGGATTTTTATGAGGCTTTAAGTTGGTCACTTTTTGGCAGACTTTTCATGGCTTCTCAAAAGATATGTTCCTGATACAAAAGTTACCTCGTAGTAGGGGAATTCAAGAATTTAGACTGAGGCAAATGTCTGCCTTGACAATGTTCTGCTCTAACACGTCAGAATTTGACTGGCTTGTAAGCAGCTGAAAAACAAGATCTTTTAAGTGCTAGATAAAGCTCAACACCAGACTCATGAAGAATAACTATGCAGTCAAAATCAAATAATGTAAACCTTGAACATGCTTCTTAACTATTTGTCCTGGTCCTGGCTGGAAAGTCTACTTGACTTGGAGAATGCATAGTCCAAATTACAGTCTGATTGTAAGCCCTCTCTATCAAGTGACCCAGAAGAACAATTTCAAATGGGGCCCTGAGCAACTTTCTATATGGGGGGAATGAGTATGAAATTAAAAAGGTGTGAATTTACTGCAAACTGACTGCTGCTTTTTAGGTCTCTGTGTGGACATACTATATGTTTAGAAACTTGCTAGCTAAAAACAAGTATGTACTTAGTTTCATGCCTTTTACCAGTCCTTTCATGTAACTGATAGCTTTATAGAAGCCTTCCTGCACTTTCTGGTTAGGTAGGGGAAACCATGAGCTTTATACAACTGCAGACAAAGACTCTGACATGAGGTAAGACTGAGCTAAAGTCAAAGCTGGTGCTCATGGATTAATTTGTATCAGAGCAAAGGCTGGGGGTAGAGAGTGGGACCCAAACCAAATAATGCTATTGTGGGTCATTTAGATTTATAGTATGATTACTCCAGCAAACAAGCAGCAGAGAAGACTTTTGCTTTAAATTAAACCAGTGCTAGGGAGGTGTGAAGAAAGGACATGAAGCGTCTTTAAAAGGCCTCAGCCTTCACATGATATTACCTGTCCAACCTTTATTACCCACCACTTTCTTTACAGCTGTAATGATCCTGTCCAGACCATTGAGCCTCCCCATTTTTAGCAAGGTATGGGAGAAAGGGCATAATACAAATGACATTCAAATGATAACATCTTTGTCAAGAGCTTTCTCTGTGGAGAATGACAACATGTAAATCTACCATTCTTCCAGAAGCTGTAGTCAGAATTACTGAAAGTACAGACATGATGTGATCTTTCTTCTAAGGTCGTATCTCTCTCTCTCAGCCAGCCTGTGGGCATAGTAATTCTGTGATATGGTTTTGGTTTCTTTCATGGAAGCCAAGTCTTTCCTGAGAGCACCGAGTTCTCTGTCAGCTCTTCTCATTTTTCAGTTTGAGTCAAAATGCACTTTAGTTTTGAAGCTGCTATGCACCAGAAAAAAAGACATTTTGTACAGATTCTTTTTTTTTGTTAAATTAGTTATTTTATCACTCTATATAAGGTAATAGTATAAGGTGAGATAAAAACAGAGTTAGAAGATTTTGTTAGCCACATCAACTTTATATAAATGACATCTGTAAAAGAAATCTAATTGAAAATTAAGCCATGTTATCATTATTATTAACATGATCAGTCTGACACATTTTTAGCTGCTTAAATTTTGGTTTCAGTCAAAGTTCTGAATGACTTAACCTAATCAAAAAGTGAATAAAATGACAGACATATCTTGTTTCGCGTATAAACACTGAATCTAAATCTCTGGTAGCAGAAATGCATGGTTACACTTCCAGAAAATTTGACTTTTTAAGCATAACAATACTAAGAGTGACTTTGCTGCTTCTGGAAGGCCAGAGTGTAGCACTGCCATGTATTGTACTATGTAAACGGAGGATATGTTCAGGTAGAAGTAATTGGGATAAAAACTAGGGAACATGAATGGAGTCAGTGGGCTTTCTGTGTGGGGATTTCTAGATCTCAGCTGAAGCAAGGTTTCTTGGAGTAAGACTAATACCGGTTGAGAAGATTCTTTTTTCCCAGTACATCTAGGTTCTCTGCTGTCTGGAGAACTTTTCCAACAGCTATGTTGTGGCTCAGAGTCAGAAAAAACAATTATTGTTGACAGCATTTCTGAGCTTCCCACTTTTTGACGTTACATTCTGTAATTAAAAAAATAAATAAATTTATAATTGTTTGGGAACAGACCAGGATGCATCTCCTTCCGTTGGCTGTTCATTAATTGCCAAGAAATTTTCTGTGCTCAGCAAGAGCACAGCTGATTGAGACAAAGGTCCCGAGCTGCAAACAAACAAGAACAAGTCTGTTCTTTTATTTTAGATTGCTGGTTTGCATATGTATGAAACTTTGTATAAAGCAAGGAAGCTGATTTCTTTTTCTATTATTTTTACTAGAGAACAGAAACACCCTGTGAGAACGTCCATATACTGAAACCATAGCTACTGAAATTACTTGGGATTTCCCCTATGTATTGGCATTTTATTATGACCCCAGCTCATTATAACCATTTTTTTTCCCTGCTGGGAACTCTTGTTTTAAGCCATTCCTACATTTCAACAAGTATACAAGAGCTTCATTGTTGTTGATCACAGTGGACAAATATACCAAGGTAAATTGCTAAATCAATATATCTCTGCAGATCATGTTATCAAGAGCACCTGCAATGTATTTAAGATGTTGCGGAGTGGTTTGCTTGATGGGACATAATTAAATGAATTGACAAATATTTAATACTAAGAGAAGTGTATGTGTCAGAAAATAAGTATCAGTACCGGAGTGGCATAGAGGGACGGATTTTCACCAATCTGTGGCATACTTGGCATAAATGAGATCTTATTCATTTTTACACGTTCAGACAAGTTCAAATACTTTGTCAGCTACAACTAGTTCAAACTCAGACTGCTTGCTCACTAAGTGATGTTTCTCAATGAGATCACATTGCACCAGTGTTGCCTTCCCTCCCGTCTGTCCTCTCCAAGTTACTGAAAGGTTTCCAGAGAAGTTCAGCATGTTGGCTTCACTTACAGTGCCTAAAATCATTGGGATCCTGAGTGCTCTCCCTGAGTGTTGTTACCACAATGTCACTTTCCAAGATCCCCAGGAATAGCGCTCTCCAGGGGCTAAAATGCATAAATAGATCAAGAGAGGCATCAAGAAACCCATTCTTGACTACTTGCTTTCCTTCCTTTAACCATGAGATTCTTTGGTTTTTATTACAGTGAATTCTTGAATGCTTTCATTTTTCTTTTTTAATTTGGTAAGAATTCCACCTTTTACTTGTACGCCCTATAGTATGTAGCCTGTATCCCAACAAGCACTGCCTTTGGTACTACTGAGACTCTAGTGAAGTTTTAGGGTTTGTTTCATCTACCTAAGTAGCAAGAATTTAATGATTTTTCATCAGCATGTTGCAATGCTCTAAATAGCAACAGACACCGAAATACAGATTTTAGACAAGGTTATTTTAATATGTATCCTTTTAAACTTAGTGGTCTCATTTATCTGTTTGACACATGTTTAGAGATGACACACTCTCTGGGTTTTTTTCACTGTTACAGCTAGATATAAACTGATATACATACTAAAAAACACAAGGAACCTTGCTGAAAGTATAATATGAGACTAAAATCAGCCACTTCAAAATTAGAAAATATCCTGAGTACTTTTGCTTGAGTGTGTGTGTAACAATGCTACTTCTCCATTATTCTATTACTGCTTTTTTTTACTAGGCTGTCACTGTCAGCAGCACAATGAACAGACAATGCTGAAGCCTTGGGCACGTGTTAAAGACTTTCCCTCGTGGCTCAGCTGGGTCTCTGCATTCTTTTGCTCCAGGTATCAAGCGACATTTGATTAACTGCTGATTTACAGGATCTTGTCTGATCCCCTCCACCTCAACTCCACACAACCTATACAGATGATCAGCACAGATCAGATACTCAGTGTAAAAATTGCCTAAGCATTTGCTAAGCTCGGCATTAAATAGAAAATGCCAAGCAACTTTGTCTTTGGGCATTCTTGCCTTTAACACCTAAAATAAAAGGAGATCTAGATGTTAGAGACAGATGCATGTAATCAAATAAATATTATAAATAATAATAGCATGCTCATAGGGGCTTTCCCCTTTTTTTCTGACAGACATTGTCCTCTGATGGGAGAACAGAGAAATAGGGGTTGTTTGTTTGCTTCTATTTGTTCTGCTTTTTTTTTTTTTTCATATTAACATAGAGGATATTTTCTAGGAAATATAGGCAACATTTAGTGAACAGTAGTGTGGGTTTGTTATAAATCGTCGGTGCTTCTTCCAGTTACTGATAGTGCTTCTTTTGGAAAGCCCCTTCCATTGTATTTGAAGTTAAAACACACAAAGTCTGAAATTAACACATTCAGTTAAAAATGCATGCAGATTGGAACATTCGTATTAAACACAACCTCTTCATTCTTTTCATTGCTGTTGCTTTTATTACAGACATATAATAGCATTGTGTGATGTAATAGCCTACCTGAAAAACCAGCAGCACCAGTAAGGAGTTTCCACTTCCCATCCTTTTAAACATCTAGTTCAATCAAGAATAAATTTAAGAAAAAGAAGTTCTAAGGATGGCAGCTGGGAGCGTGGTTTTGCTTTGGATGTGTGAGATGTATGCTTTCTTCTGAGGAACACTGTCCCACCACAGCCTTTCTCTCAGTGAGTTACTAGAATTTTTCCTCTTTATCCAAGTCATCCCCTTCCATGAAACTTTGTAAAACTTAATGACACTGCATCCTCAGCCAAATTCAATTGAAGTTATCCAGTGGGTTAAGAAGTTATTGACACCATTGATTAAAAAGAAACTGACATATATATATATATACACAAAATGCTCAGAATGCTCATTTCAGTCTTATTTTTTCTGGAAAACAGGCCAGAAAACTCTCCCTGTTGCCAGTCCTGGGAAAGTCTTTCACACGTGATTTTTTTGTATCAGATACGTTGACCTCAGCAGTGTAACTTAGAGGCTAAAACTTTCCTAAGACTTGTTTATCTCGGTTCCTGTCCTTTTGCTAGAAAAGCTTAGATAGGAGCTGATCAGAAAAAAAAAGGGGGGTGGGGGGAAGGGGCAGGGAAAAAAGAAGAAAACAAAAAAGAGACAAACAGAGCTCACCTGTTGCCCTGACTTGCTATGTCATTTGAAACTGCACTCATAAATTGGGAGAATTGCCTAATTACATATTACTACACAAAATAAGGCATTTTCTAGCCCATCACTTCATTAGGAAAACCAAGAATGTAATATCTGGACATTCAAATACTTAGTTGTCTCTAGATGCTAAAGGTGTACCTACAACACTTGGCTTTTATAGCTAGGAGAGATTAGAAACTGAGAAGTAACCCGACAGAGTGAAGAAAGGAGGTTAGATTTGTATGTGATGTTCTGAAAATGCCCTCTTTTTATAGGATGGTATTCTGGAGAAAGAAAGAGAGTCAGTTAGTTAAAGAGAGAAGCATTACAGCTGTGAGTTCAAGAAGTTATTTACATCATCCCAGGGTCTCCGTGGAATGCTCTCATCTTTGGTACTCTGTTGTGATGGCAGTGAGGTAGCTGTGGGTCTTTAATAAAATAATTATCTGATTTTCAATCTTTTCTCATTTCTCTTGTTTTTCTTCTTGCTGATAAGGGTGAGAGTCAAAAAACCATGGGTGTGAGAATTCAAATTCTCTTTATTTTCCTGAGCACCTCAAAAAGGTCTTAAAGGCAGCCTGCCCCTTTTTGAAGTGGCTAACTTTTACTTTTGATAAAAATTTTAGGGCAGATAAGAAAGCTTTGTGACACCTTAAACCAACTGAAATCTTTCAAGGCACCAGAACCAAAAAATGTTATCCAGAGTCACAAATGAAAGTGAGTGAAATGACAAGTAGCAGCCCAAGGGATGACTGTCAGCAACAGGAATTGATTTCAAGTGGGATTGGAGGGAGGAAAGAGAAGGATTCTCAGGAGGATGGTTTGCGGTATGTTGGTGTTTAAGTGGCAATGTGTAAAGCCTAAACCTTCATGGAGTCACCCCGGTTGGTTGTGACACACTCATCCAAACAGGAGTAAAATGACTGTACTTGAAAAATGAGTGTTTCTTACTGGGAACTCTTTTGAGAGTGTGGCAGATGGACGGGGCAGGGCTTGGACTCATGCCTGACCAAGGCTTTGGGGTGATGAAGTGCTCTCTGAGGGCAGCCTAGATGACTCAGGAGCCTGTGTTTCTGCATAGCCAGCCGTGTACCTCGGGTGACAACCTTTATGCATGCAACCGACTCACAGAAACCCGACAGCTCTGGGACTAATGATTGACGCGGTTTTGTTTTGTTCTTTTTTTTACTTTTCTTTTCTGGGCAGCCCCCTTCCTCCCCCTTCCTTCTAAATTGCTTTCTCAGCTTGCTTGAGTCTCAAAGCTTGTCTCCTGCTTGTCTCCTCCTTGTCTTGAATAGCTGGAATGGCTCTGGACTGAATGAACAGACACGGAGCAAGACTGGGCTGGACCCTGAGAGGATCTCAACCAGGAGGAGCAACCTGGCTGTCTAACCTGCAATGCTGGGAGCTAGGGAGATTTAACACCACTGCAGATGGCTGCCTGCAGCCTGGTACTTGGACTGTGGCTCCTGCTGCTTCTCCAGGATATTCAGACAGCCCCACAGGTAAGAGGGGGTGGCACGAGGATCCTGCAACCCCTCAGGATGCAGGAGCCTGGAGAGGTCTGGGGGCATGCTGGGCTGCAGGGCTATCCTGCCCATAGACTGGGTGCTGGGTAGTGGGTGCCCACAGAAACAGGCTTCGTGCAACAGAGGGTGATAAATGTATAAAGCAGAGCAGCCAGGAAAGTTTGCTTTCTCTGGGAATTTTGCAGACAGGAGCAGGGGATATGAGTTATGATCTGCATCTTTTTGTTGGCACTGCTAGTGTTACTGCACCTCCAGGCACATCACAGCTAGGGAATGAGGAAAGATTTGATAAGGGTGGGGGACTGTTCTTGTTTGTTTGGGTAAGTGGCTTTTATTTTTGCCTGGATGGCCAGGTGCTCTGTGACAGGGACATTCCTTGCAGAGCTTGGTTCAGAGGGCTTCTGCTCACTCTGCTGATGTGAGACAGGGCTGGCAAATTGAAAGTGTAAAGGCAAACAAAACAATAAAATACCTTCCTCTTTACAACCACCCACCCCTCTGACACTGACTTCCTCATGAATGGGCTATTATTTCTATCAAATTGACTTAAAATAGATATAGCCCACTAGCCACACTCAGCTGATGCTGTAGATGCAAGCTGGCTCCCTGCTCAGATCATATCATCTCTTGTGGGTTTGCTTCTCCCCCGCCCCGCAGCTTACCCCCTCCTCCCTAGTGGATCACGTGCAAACGAGCCCTCAGCACCTGGCATAAATCCAGGTAATTTCCCTGGCTGACGTGTGTGTGCGCGCGCACACACACACACACACACATATAAAAATCAGTCGCAGATGCTCTTTGCACAGGTAAAGTCATGTAGGTGAGTAACTGCACACTGTGTTGGATCCTGAAATTGTCCCTTTTCCCTTGTAGTGGAAATAGGAGCATCTGTTAACCTAAGGCACCTGTCTGTACATTCTAATTGAGTGATATAGCACATCACTTGCACTGCCAGGAGATTTTTTACAAGAAATGGACTCTGATTAGATCTTTGAAAATAACCAAGTCCTGCATCCTCTTCATAGACATTTGAAAAAGATCCTCCTGGCTCTTTTGGTAAGAGTAGGAGTTTGCCCTTGTGTCTTTAGTTGTAAATTCCCCTCCCACATTGCAAGTTTGCTCTACTTTGCCCTGGTTATCTGTACTGCCACTATCTCCTTCATGAAATAGAGAAGAATCACTGCTCTTCTATAGGATTGGAGTCTGTAGTCCTTGGTCACCTGAGGAATACTTAGGAGGGAATTCAGATAAGCTTGTCCGGTCTGCTGAATGCAAACTGTTTTAGCAGAAAGACAATAGAAAAAAAAAGATGGTATTTTTGCTATTTGGTATCACTTTTGGTGTTTTTTTCACAAATGAAAGGGTCAGAGAGAAAACTTGGTTTCCTGATACTCATTGTCAACATTCAGACTCACTGCAAAATCATCAGTTACCTGGAATAAATATGTACATCTTGCTGGGATAAGCAACTGGCTTTTCACTGTCTTTCTGGATTGCATCTAATCACAGCAACACTTGCTTTTACTGCTACTGGAGTATAAATTATACTGTTTAAGTTGAGCAAGTCACAGCTTATTGGTCATATTTTAAACCGTGTTCCACCTTACTTGAGTCCATAGCTTGGGTTTTGTTTGGTTTAATATTCAGTTAACTCTCAGTTGTTAATAATGTCTTTACTATCAAGCAGATGAAGCTTGACTCCTTGAAGACTTAGATTATCAGCTTCTTTTTTACTGTCAGGATTTGGATAGAAGCTTGAAAGGGAGTCAACTGTTTTGCTACAGTATTAGTCAGTTCGAGAATAGCGTGTGCTGGTAGAAGATTTTTTTTTACTGTAATATGCTTTCTTCCTGACTTACAACTCATTTGTAGCAAGCTGATTTCTTACTCTGCATTGCCATCACTTTTTCTCTGTGAGCTCAAAAGACCATAAATAAATGAGTCAAACCTTGTCCTGACTGAATTGCAGAGTAGCCCACTGAATTCAGCACCAACTTTACAATTGCCATTATTTGAATTGGAATAGCAAATGTGTTTGTAGATACAAGGAAAGTGAGAAGAGCTGCAAAAAGCCTATTTTCTAAAACAAATTCTCAAAAGCAAGCACTGGAAAACCCAAATGCTTTGTATCAAATATGTTTGCTTTGTTTAATTGGGCCTTGATCTGCAACGCTTTAAAAAAGAAAAAAATATTTGGCCTGATAGGTCAATGAAAGCACTCAACTAAGGAATCCCTGGCCATCCTGTTACAGAGCAGTCCAAACAGGACACAAATTGTGATCTTTTCTTTCACAAGATGTATTCCAGCTCTTGCTAAATCAAACCCCTTTATTTGAAGCGCATGCAGGAAAAGACTAGTGAAATTCAGTCTCTGTCTCCTTCCAGTTAAACAGTACACTGAATCTAATTTAAGAAGTCCTTATATTAGAGCAAAAAAAAATGGAGATTACTAGTCTGATATGGACTCATGGCTTGTTCAAATTTGTTCAAAAAATGGGGACAGATTAACTTCGTAGTGGCAGGCTTTCTGCTACACTGGTAATTGTTTTCTATACCAGCTTGCCTTCTTAGTTTAAATATTTATCTGTTCCTCTACAGCTGGCATAAAGCAGCATTAACTGTGCATTGTGTCCTCATGTCCAGTCCAGATCAAATCAATTCTGATATGTGATCCAAGGGCTGGAGCCCCTCTCTTATGAGGACAGGCTGAGAGAGCTGGACTTCAGCCTGGAGAAGAGAAGGCTGCGGGCAGACCTGATTGTGGCCTTTCAATTCTTAAAGGGGGCCTATAGGAAAAATGGGGAAAATCTTTTTAGTAGGGACAGCTGTGACAGGTCAAGGAGTAATGGTTTTAAACTGAAGCAGGGTAGGTTTAGACTGGATATAAGGAAGAAATTCTTTACAATGAGGGTGGTGAAACACTGGAACGGGTTGCCCAGAGAGGTAGTGGAGGCCTTATCCCTGGAAACATTCAAGACCAGGTTGGAATGGGCTGTGAGCAACCTGATCTGGTTAAAGGTGTCCCTGCTTCCTGCAGGGGGGTTGGACTAGATGACCTCTAGGGGTCACTTCCGACCCAAAACATTCTATGATTCTATGAGTCTAGTATACAGATGCAGAAATAATGTCTGCGAAGTTTCCCGTTACAGCTGTGCCCATCCACAGAGACCTGTCACACAAATGGGAGGCCCTGCTCCTGGCTACCGAGTCCCACCAACTTTCTTGCATTGAACTTAGTGCAAGTGACTGTGCAGCCACAGGGTGAGTTGTTTCAGTGCAGTAATCCCCTGAAAACCAACTTCACAAATTCAGAAAGCAGAGTTTTCAGTCAGATGAACTCCTAGAACTCATTCGTCCTCTGGAAACGCAATTGCTCTGTCTTAAACAGTCAAGGAGCTACAGGGGAAGGAAAATGTGGGTGCAGGCAAGAGAGGGGAAGTGGGATTGCACACATCCAAGGGATTAGCCACAGGATTAGCATAGCTGTAATAGACACATATTCCCACTTTGCAAATCCATTCTTAGTACAGACCCATCCATTCAGAGTTTCCTCAGAATCAGAGGGAAGGACAAAGACCTATTTTCCACCACAACTGGATTCCTGGCCCCTACGCACCAATACTTCTGTGATCTTCCTTGAATTTTAAAGGTGGTTATTTTTATAATATGTATTAACAAACAGAACTGTAAGTAGTAATGGACAATACTATATGTAATTGGGATAAAATTGGTATTTCTTCATTGAGACTGGATTATCTTTTGGAGAGGGGACAGGGAAATGTACAACGCCTCCTTCTCTTTTCTTCAGGAAACACTAGGAAATGATGCCTTAAAAAGTGAAATTCTGTTACAATTTTGAACTTCCTTGGCAGAACCTGAGTTCTGTTTCTTTCTTGAGATTCAGACAAGAGTGGGTAAGGATGAGGGACAGTCAAAAGATGAAAGAGAAAAATACTTTAAATTAATTAAACAGGTTTTTGAGGTTGCTGCATTTCATTCTATTCTAGATGAGGAGAATTTGTTCATAAAACTTACTGGAAATTTCCTTGATGAGGCAAAGTCACATGCTAGTTGCTGCTGAGTATGGATTATACCACGCTCTTCAACGTTTCTAGGCATTCCAGGAAGAAGACGAGGGAATGGGGCAGAGGTGAAAGTTCGTACACACAAATCCTTCCCTACAAAAGAAGTAGTAAGGGGCAAAAATGATGAAGTGAATCTTCTCTCATTGGCTAATTGACAATTTCTGTAAGCATACTGGAGCCAGGAGAAGTGGCCAACACTGTAAGTGGAGAATTTCTTGGCACTTTCTTTTTTGTGGGCCTCTACACACAGGCACCATGGAATCAAGAAGGTGTACCCCTCACCCCACCTCAACACTCACAGCTGATACTTTTTTGTAAGGTGATAGTGTTGAGGTTTTGTAATGCAAGGCTGGAACTTTTTTCTGTCTCCTGTGCTTTATCCCCTCCCTTTCATTTCAGGAGCTATTTATGAGCAACTAGGACCTGCTAAGTCAAACCTTAACCTTCAGCTTCTGCCTAACAAAGAGTCTTAATTTAAATAAAATCATTTTGCTCTGGAAAAATGAGTTTTGTTAGTGATATTCTCACAATTTTGAGTCAAAGTAATTCAGTTCATGGTTTTTTATGAGACAGAGTTAAATTTCCACTGTCATCCTAGGACATATAAAAAAAGGATTCTTTGACTTAAGTTCATACTAACAAATGGGATAATGGTCCAATGCAGATGACTTTCACTATTTTGTAGTTAAACCTTATGTGGCTTATTCAGTATTTTATAATACTTGGTTTTGTCTAAGCACTCACAAACAGAAATATCTTAGAAATGTCTTAATACTGAGATTTTTGTTGGCAATGAGAACAGTAAGAGCACATATGCTTTTCCTTCCTGCTGTATTCTTCTTGAGTCCTCATATGATAAAGTACTACTTTCAACATGAATTTTTCCCATTT